TAGTCGTGCAGCCCCAGCTTCTCCGCGTCCACCGGCTCGTTGAATACCCACCCGTGCTTGTGCGTCATCAGCTTCCGCAGCAGCGTCGTGCACTGCTTCAGCATGTCCGCCACCCTCTTCCCCCGTGCCGCCTCCACCTTCTGCCTCCGCGGGTCCTTCGTCTCCCACTTCCCCGACGCCGTCCGCTTCGCCTTCGCCTTCTCCGGAGCCGGCATCTTGTCCTTCCCCGACACGAACTCCGAGTTCACGTACAACTGATTCGCCTTCGGCGTCCGCTTCATCTTCTCGCTCGGCGTCCCCAAAGCCACCTCCGGTATCAATACGCTCGGCTGCCGCGCCAACCGGGCCTCCCTCTCCGACATCTCCTTCGGCATGTCCCGCGGCGTCTCGCCCGACGACGACGCCGGATCAGAGATCACCGACGCCACCTCCTTCCGCCCCTGCCCCTGTCCATGCCCCGGACCCTGCCCTAGCCCGTTCACGTCCGCTCGACCCAACTTCGCCTCGCTGCTTCGACACTGCTGCTGGTGCTGCTGCTGCTGCTGCTGCTGCTGCTGCTTCCCCTCCGAAGCCACCCCCTGCAACTGCGACTGCGACTGCGACAGCGGCTTCCCCTTCCCCCTCGAAAGCACCTCCAACCACGTGTCGATCCGCGACACTACCAACCGCACCTCCTCCAGCCCCCGCTTCAGCTTCTTCCTCAATTCGCTCCTCTGCTCGCGCGACAGCTTCGCCACGTCCACCGTCACCACGCCACTCGCCCCCTGCGCGTACTCCTGGTTCAAGCTCATCGACTTCCGCTTCAGCACCCGCACCTCCTGCGGCGCCTCCGTACTCGCCTTCGCCATATTCGCTCCTCGCTTCATCATGTCGGCCAACCCTGCGGAGTAAACGTTGCTATGCCGCTCATGAGTGAGAAGGAGCGCCGACGCCATGCATGCAGACCAGCCGGGAGTCACCTCCTCCCCCGCAGCCCCCTCGCTCACACACTCATTGACCCCCTCGCTCTCAACCACCGACACTCACACGCTCACCCGCACCTGCTGCACCCTAACCTATCCACGCATCCCCTTCCTCGCCCACACACTCCGTGCGCCCGCCCGCTCGGCCACGCCGACGCCTCCTGTTTCGCACTTCGTCGAACGGGCTTCCACTCTGCCCACCACCACTCACCCTTATCCTCTGCCTCTCTTTCGCTCTCTCTCTCTCTCCCCCACAACCGCCGTCCCCACAAGATCCCCAAGAAACCGAATTTCCTCGCTGCTCCGAATCGGAACCACCCCGTCCCAACCCTGTCGCCGCTTCCACGCCCTTATGAAACGGATCTTGTGGCTCCACCCTGTCCCTTTCCCCTAGCCGTTGCTTCCCCGCTTTCGGCACGACCGAGGGAGATGCCGCATCGGAGCTCTCACCCCCGCTTTCCCTTAGAGGAAGGGCAACCTCCTGCAATTTCCCAAAAACTCACGGTCGATTTCCCACGGTACAACAAAACTACGTGCCTACCCTGAGACTTGGCTACCGATCCTGGACAACCCCGTATCGCATAGCTACGACCGCAACAGGGGTTGATGTCTAGGGTTTTCCGCCAAATCCTCAAGGGTTCGTCGGCGAAGAACTCAGGCAGCTCCAGCCGCTCGCTCGCATAACCGCGGGTTCTGGCCCCCGCCCGACCCTGTCGCCTCCCACCGCGATGAATTCCAACATTCGGACGATTGATTGATGGATCGATCTTCTTCGATGTAACTTACGATGTCTCTACTCAGTCCCTAAAAGTCATCGATCTTACGAAGAACCAACAGGAGAAGCCAACACGTCCCTCCTCCCTTCAAGACAACGGTCCTGCACCCTGCACTCCTAATCTACCCTTTGCGTCCCATTATGTACTGCCAGTGCCGGCCTTGGGCACGGGATTACCAGGAGCAGTGGCTGAGACCGAGGCTCCCCTGTTGGGGATTAAGAATCCCTTTGCACTTCCGCGGGGTCTTGTCTTGCTTAGGTGGTCTCATCTTGTTGGCTCTAGAACCTTCCTTCAGCTGTGTCACCGTCATTCACGGCACCCGCGGTCTTGGGTCTCGCCGGTCGCGCACCGTCGCGGACGTCTGTTCGCTCCTCTATTATGTCGTTCTTCTCGGCGGATGTGATAGTTGCCAATATGGACGGAGAATAGCGGAGGATGAATGTCATCCGTTCGCATGCGTTTCTCTTCCACTGTGCATTGAATGCTCGGTGGATGAACTTTGTGTTCTGTGGTGGAAGGCGTATCCCCATCCTATCCCATCGTCTATATATCTTTCTATTGTAGGTAGGTTTGCAAGTGTTTGCAAGTTCACTGTTCATGTCGATGGATACCTTTGGACTCCCTCCTCCAAAAGCGATATTTCGTTGTGTGTACTTTTCGCATGGTTTGGCTTGTTCGTTTGCGCCTTTTCCAAGTGGCTGCTGTTGCAGTTCTTCCCGCTAGCACCGCAAGATTGTGCGCACGGTCGTCGTTAAACCAAATTCGCAATGGAAGTGTTTGTCTCTGTAGCGGGCGTTCTTAATTGTCGTCACCGTTGCTCTGGATCGGTTGCTGCCATTGCACTTGCTTCTGCGGTTAAATTCCTTTCTGTTGAGCATGTATAATTTCACGATTTTTGGCTCCTGGTGAGCATTTATTCTATGTGCAGACCGTATTTGTCACTGTACCTTTGGCGTGGGTGAGTTTTTTCCCCTTTTACTTAACTATGGTTTAAAGTTTGATTTCAGTGCAGAGATTTGTGTTGGTTATTGTCTTCTTCTTCTTGTTAGGGAAATACTGGCGTAAACTTTACGATAATCATGTTTCTGTGGAATGTAATGAGCATAGTAAATATTACAACTCGAAGGTTTATAATGCTTTTGTTCACGTCTATTACAATGCTCTTGTATGTTGTTCACCTTTCTGTTTGATAAAAAAGATAATTTTAACATGTGCATTCAAACGAGATCCACGATTTCATGTTTATGCAATTCAGTTATATCTATTAATGCATTTCATGGACACTTTTAACAAGTATACAAAACATTATGTATATATATATATATGTAAATACACACATAAACTTGAAATTCCAAATGGTTTTTCTTCTTCTTTTATTCTTTTGATAATATTTCTAAGAATCACATACATATGTAATAGCAGTGAGGGCCTTTGCTTTGGGAATAATACATTTGATGCAAGCTATTGATGCATGATAATATATTAAACCACAATTAATCAGAATCCAATCACAAGCACAACTAACAAAATATACATTGTTGTTCTAATACAAAAACTGAATAATTAAGTAAAACACTTACATACGAAAAAAAAAAAAAAAAAAAAAAAAACCAATCGTTTATTAATTATTGAAAAGAGAAAAGTCATGTAAAAAGACTTATAGTTGTAAAACGGGAATAAAACATTAAAACGGCAAAAATGCATCTACATGAATCTCATATATATATATATATACACACACATGAACATGTTTATTGTACAATTAGGTTTTACAATAAATAAATAAATTTTACATATCAGTTTCATAAAAATATCAAAATCTATATTCTTTAGATCATATGAATTTGAAATACTTAAGATATTTCGTATTTTTAAACATTTGACATCTTATATATTAATGAAAAAATAAATTAGTTGATCAATGAATTATAAAAAATAGGTACATAAAAAATATTTACAGGAATATATTTTTTTATGTCAATAAAGGTTATTGTGGCTCTTATTTGTTACATTTTTGTAGACAAGTGTTTTTAGAAGAACGTCCTGCAAACAAAGAGAGATGTTGTCATATATATATATATATATATATATGATATACTATAAAAAAGTTCTATATATTTATATATAGAGAACAGTTACAGATACTAAGAATTTACTGATGTTATAATAAGGTGATTTACTAAAACCTTGTAATATTTGGCTTATGTAAGAAGTTTCTTAGTGGAAAGCATTTCTAAAATGTTTCTAGATGTTGAGTGAATAGCAAGTAGCAAAAAGATAAGACCAAACGGGTGTAGCTTTGTAAGTTGTATTCGTACTTATGTGCAGAGATAGATAAGACTGTATCACTGATTAGTATTACAACTTAATTTTTTCATGAAGTGTGTGTGTATATATATATATATATAATTATTTGAACCTCTCAGCGTTCTTAATTCCCTTGCAATAATCATTTGGATGTAATGTTGGTTTTATTTTTTATTTTTTTTATAAAATTTTTAATATTTTTTTTGTGTATGTGGAATTAGTGGCTTACTAAATAAACCACTTTAATGTGTTGGAAACTAAAAAAAAAAAAAAAAAAAAAAAAAAAACTAAAACTAAAACTAAATATTCTACATTGGCTGAGATTTTAAACAAGGAGGAGCCATTTAATTGGTTCTGAAATGTATCCAAATATCTGGTATTTAATAATGATTCTTTGATGTTATTAATTGGGTATTGCTTTAATTTATACGACTGGATTACAATAAGAAATCAAAACAGTATAATCATAAATATATATTACATTCTTATAAATCAATATCGTTCTATATTTTTTTCTCAAAGTATCTTACAAAGCAGATTAATTATTACACATTTTATTTTTTGCTTATAAGAGAAATAAGAAAATGATACAAGGTTTCCAAAAACACATTTAAACTAATTCAAGAAGTATTAAAAAAATAGTTGATTCTAGAAACAAGTTAAGGTCATATAGAATCTTTTGAATTGAATGCCGTTATATGTATATGTACATATGATTGTTTTCTTCTAGTTACATGTACATCAAAATATTTTTAAGCCTCACAATGGTTTTGGTCTTCTTTAATTTCAAGTTTTGTAACCACTACCAATTTCAAGTTTAAAAAGTTATAAGTACATTATTATTCTAGAAAAGTCAAGTGTTAGGTGGTAATATAAAATTTGTTTAAAACATTACCTATTTAGAATAGGATTTGACTTGAATTTGCCTTTGATTGTCATTGAATGCAAAACACCAAGACTTGTTAGTAAATCTTGTGTTTATTGAAAAGTTTCTATATAAACTGTACAAATATATCCCATTAACAACATATCTTAATCTTTTGTAAGAACATATTAAAAACACAATAGGAAATGCCAATTTTAATTCTTATATATTTTAAGATTAGAAAATATATTTTAGAAGTAAATAATATTTGAAATATTAAAATTCATTGATTGTATTTTGTCTAGTAATACTAACATATTTTAGAAGACATTATTAATGAAATATAATATAAAATTTTATTCTAAACTTTATAAAATATTAATTCTAAAATTATCGAATATTCTATGCATGTATATTTTATTTTCAATAAAATAGATTTTACAAATAATTAAAAAAACAAAAATATGTGATAAACGTGATTTTTTTTTTCTTGATTTAATATGAAATACAAATATACAAGGATTAGAATCAATTACCTATTCCAATTCTTACCTTGTACTTATTTTTTTACAGCATTTATTTATTTATTTATTTTTCAAATGAATGCATGTGAATGTATGTGTTTACATATAGGTATATATATATATATATATTGTCACTGATTTGGCATTTTTTTATTATCAAATTAGCACTTAATAAAAATTCCATACAAAAGAATTTGATGTTTGAGATTAAAACTACAAACAAGTAATGTACAGAATAATAGCAAAAATTACAATATAAAGACTATAAAAAAGACTATAAAAAAGACTATAAAAGCTAAATTAAATGTTTAGGATTCACTTTTCAATTAATTTTATTATATTTTAAAAGTGATTGAAATGTCCAATAGTATCTTATGTCATGTATTTTTTATGCTTTAAATATTTAACAAAACTGTTTATTCACAATATCTTTTAGAACAAAGTACACAAAATCACGATGACAACTGGAATAATCTTATGAGTATTTTAAATATTTATTAGAGTAAATAGGATGATAAACTCCAAGCATTTAAATACATTATGGAATGAAGATAATAAATGATAATTCATTGCACACGACTTCAGACTGAAAACAAATATAGGTGTTTAAATTTAAATTAAATGCATATTTTGAGATAATTATAGAATCATCAAATAAATTCGATTTTAAATATAAAATAGAAATAAAAGAAAATTTAACATTTGTCTCAAACCGAATGCAAAATTTGTTTGTAGAAACAAAAGTTATCTTCAAATGACTTTGAATTTAATGTGTATTAAAATCAGTGCTACTAGTCAATTATATATATATATATATATATATATATATATTTACCTACATTACTTTCATTTTGGTTTTCAGATTATTTATGTTATTTAAAAGATTGTATAAAAGAAAAATTTAAAGTATCTTTTAAAGCAATAAAGTAGCCAGTTGCATAGCAAACAGAAATTAAAAACATCCATACAAAAAATTGTTCCTAGCAAATATATTTCAAAGCTTTCAATGCAAAGTTTTAAATAGGTAAAAGTTAAAGCTAAATATGTGCATATCCAATTTTTAATCTTATTTAACAAACATATTATAAGTTGTCCAAGAATGTAATTTTTTGTTTAATCAATATAAAGCCCAACGGTTTATGTTGTTTAAAAGTAAACGATTCTACATACTCATATTTTATTTTTATTTTTGAATGTAATGACATAATGTATGTGAAAAAATCACTAAGGAAAACTCAAAAAATACTTAAGATGTGAAAATATTAATCCTAAAAAATTATATTTAGTTATTATACAATAGGAAAACAAATAAAACACAAATATTTCACACTATTTTTTTCATACCTTACAATTCTTAAATTGAATGAATATAGTTTTTTTTTGTCACAAAAAATATCAGAAAATAAAATATTATATTAGAAAAATTGGGGTTTCTTTATCATAATTCCAGCCTCAGGTATAAATCTTCGTGCCATCATTCCTGATTTTGAACCAAAAAATGCAATAAAGTCAATAGAATTATTTTTTGATAAATAAATATTAAATTATACTAAAATGTTTATTGTTTAGTTCATTATTTGTATTAAGTTTTGTAAGTTATGTATATACTTATATTGAAATGAATTGTTCATTTTGATTTTTAATTTGAAGTTTGGAAATAAAATTAGGAAAGAAAATGAGGAATTTTTTTTTTGTGATTATTTATTTATTTATTTATTTTAGTTTTCCAAGTAAGTTTTAATTTGCATCAATATTAAAAAAATCAAAATCAAAATCAAAATCGTTTCTAAATGGCTCAGTCAAAACCCCCAAATAATGCATCAAGTTCTAATGGCAATTGAGTGTGTTTAGTTCACCAGAATAATACAATTAAAATCTAAAAAAATCATTTCAAAAGTCATTGCATTATGTTCGAAAAGCCATGTAAATATTTATGATGATTATGAAGATGTGATAGTCTTAGTTTGAGCAATTAGAATGTATTCTTATAAGTTAGAAATTGATATGTGTATTCACAATTTAGACAAAATTCAAGGGTTTTATATTCTTATAATAATTATTATGATCATTCAGGTGATATTTAATACATTTTGAAATTAAAACTAATAAATCAATCTTTGTAAATACCAAGACAGCTACAATTATCTGCACACACAAATATGGGTGAACTTGACAACATCTAGTTTTAAAATTGACAAAAATAAAATAAAATAAAACAAAACCATGTCAATATGAACCCAAATAGTTGAATATGCATGAATGGACAATACACTATTTAAGGAAAAAAGAAAGAAAAAAGACACAATTGTGAACAAAAGATTACTTTGCATGAGCAATTTCAATGTAGAAAAACCAACACAAACAATACAATAGTGGAAAGGAAAATCGCAACAACAACAATATCAACCTTGAATGAATAAAAGCACTCAATATGGGTCTCACCAATATAGAAAGAAAGAGGATCCAAATCACAATCCCCCCCAAACTCAATACCCCGTCACTTATAATTAAACTAATTCAATTCCCATGCTTCCATTAACTCCCTCCCCTTCCCGCTATAATTTCTCCCCGCGTACGACGTGGACCGTTTCCCGGGAAATTACAAACCAAAAGTGGCGGGAACAGGCTTCGAAGCGCGGGAGTCGGACCGCAAATCACAGAGCGGGAAACGTACCGTCGTTGCCGTGCTTGGAAATTTGAATTCGGTGGTTTTGGGCGGGGAATCGGTGCTTTTGAGCGGGCGATGGAGCTGCAGCGCCGAGTTATTACTCCAGACGGAGGCCGCTGTTGGAGACTCATCTCTATGGTATTTGAGACCTCCGTGTAATCGCAGCATTATTGGCGTGGAGCTTGTGTGTGTGTGTTAGGAATTCGAGGAGTTTGGTGGATTTCGGGGAATAAGAAAAAAAAGAAGGACGAAGTAACCTTTCTTTGTTGAGTTGTATGCGGCTGATTCGGTTTACGATTAGAGAGCGTCGAAATCAGATGTGGAAGGGGGGAATTCGTCGTGCTTCACGTTTGGCTTCAGTATGCGGAGATTGAATTCAGTTTTTATGTCGCGAGCAGAGGATGTGTGCGTCACTTTCGGTAGTTGCAGGGATTTTGAGCACTGGAAATGAGAGTGTGATTAATCGGCGTTCGTGGCACTTGCGAGATGATTTCGTGGAGGAGTTTGGACTCGATTGAGGTTTTTGTGGTGTGTTATCTAAATCGAAGATTGTGGGGGTGACATCAATTGTAGGCGTTTCTTGGCGGATTTTTTACTTTCACTTTTCTTTTCTTCCTTGCTGGACTCCAATTTCGTGCATCGCCATTCCTCAGATGCTTAATTCGTTGTAGATGGTTTGTGCAGTTACTGCGTCTAGTTCTACTCTGGGGTAAGTTCAATTCATACTGTAACCGCAGTCTGAGATTTCGAGAGCGTAAAATTAAACAAAGTCCAGGATCTTAGGTAAAATAGATGTAAGCGCAGTCTCAGTGTTGTGAAACATGATATGTTTTGAGTGCATATTTTGTTCGTCTTACAGAACTGTCTCTCATGAAAGCATAGTAATTTTTTTAATTGACGATGATGATAACAACAACAGTAATAAAGCAAAAGTTTCAAATATCTACACGTCAATCTTTATGTATCTCTGTGAGTTAACATGTCAAACCGATTTATAATGATACATTTTCATCGTTTTTTTTTTTTTTTTTTTTTTTTTTTTTGCATTAACACAAATTTTAAAAGAAAGTATACAAACTATAAGTCAAGTTATTGTGCTTAACATGATTACAAATGAATTTGTAACATAAAATTTCCAATGGGGGATTTTTTTTTTTTTTTTTTTTTTTTAATTCCTTTGAACAAAACTAAAAATAAAGCAATGCATTGTAGTAAACAATATAAGAAAAAACATAATATACTTCATTCCTTCTACATAGTCAAAATTGGAAATAATTGGATTCCTAATTTTAAATTAACAAAAAATATTCTATTATCATGAACTATTTAATTTGGATTTAAAATTTGTAGAATACAACTTCAATCCTTTTTCAAAGGTGTATACTAAATAGCACTTGTAAACATTTTTCACCATGTCAATATCATTTACTTTAATTTTGGACAAAATATTTTTTTTATGAAAAGTTAAAATCTAAAAAATGAGTCTAATTTTGCTTTGCATTGCAACTAAAGTGGAGCATATATCTTATGCATTCCATACTTAAAATTGGTTGATAGAAACTTCAAAACATAAAAATGTTTTAATATGAGTGAGTAAAAATAATATTTGTTTATAGTTAAAATAAATGACCAATTCAACAATAGACATAAAAACTCATCTCTATTGTTGTATGGTTAAATGAAACAAGTTGAATTAGTAAAAAAATACATTAAAAACTAAGGCCTTTGATCAATTCATACTTAAATTTATGTAAAGAAATAACTATGGTCCATGCTACATATATATACATTCAGTTAAGGTTATAAAAGATGTAATAGTCATAATGCAATGTTTGTGTATGCATATATAGCAATATTCAAAAATTGATTGGAAAATAGATTGAATATATATATATATATATATATGAATGACTTTTGATAATTTATTATTGCAGGTAACATGTTGGAAATGTGATAGCTACAAAGTATATCAAACCATGGCCAAAGTACGATGTAAGTTTATCCTAAGTATTTATACGAATTACTTATACTAATACTACAAAGATCAAGAATTACTTTTTTCTAAAATTGTGGAAAAAAAATCAAAAAATATTTTAAATTTTAAATTCAAAGGTACTCATTTTTTAAAAATAAAATAAAATAAGTGATAGTATCTAATTCCTAACCTCGAATTATCCATAAAATAAATAAGTAAACTTCATTTTAGTTGATTTAATCACTTATTGTTTATTTGGTAGAGTGAAACAAGAATGTTGTCATTTTTGTGTAGTATGTGTGTGTGTGTGTATATATATATATATATATAAGTTATAAAATTATTAAATAGGCAGTCCCCCACAATGCACAAAAGTTATTTGAAAATGCAATGTTTTGATAGTTTTTGTAATAGTTCATGTCATGTTTCTTATTCTACCCATTTGTAGTTGCAATGCAATAGATTTTTGGATCTGATGCATACTTCTAATATAAAATACAATGTTTTCCGCTTCCACTAACCGATTCTCTTTATACTTATTGATACATTATTGTTAGAAATATGATTAAAAAATAAAAAAAACAAAACAAAACAACAACTCTCAAGTAGAAACAAACAAGAGCATGTGTAGAATGAAAATTACACCTAGATCAATTAATTAATTTTCATTACATAGAGAATGGATGATTCTGTATGAAACCAATAAATTATTGTAAGTGCACATGTGGGTCTGAAAGGGTAAATTTGTGAGGGGTTTCAACGATTGGTTACAGCACACAGACTCAATTTTCTATTACTGAGAAAAGCAAGAAAATAGTCATGTTTTGCAATGCCAAGTTTGATCCATGAGCCTCTCTTTGCTTGATTACGAATTAGCCATTCAGAGTACTGAAGGCTGATCCTGCCCGTCCAAGTGGAGTCAAGACAGCTAGAAATTAAAAAAGGAAAAAAGAGGAAGAAAAACCCTAAAAGAGGCCCTTTTCCTTGATGGTGATTGAACAAAAACGCGCTTGGTTGGATGCAGCAGGATGCTAAAGTTATTCAGATATTTGGGTTGTACCAAAATAGGTCTACAAACCCGCTAGAATCATCTTCATTTGAAATTGCACAGAATAGGCAATTTCTATATATATATATATATATATATTCACACACAAAACCCATTGGTGGGTACAAGTGTATATGTTTGTCATGGGTATTATTTTTCTGCTGTGTGTCGAAATCAGACACACATGATGGGTGTTCCGTAGCATTCTAGATTCGAACACACAGGTTTTGTCATCCAAATTTGTTACCGAGCATTTGTTTTTGAGGTACGTTACACACAGCGACAGTTTGAGAACTGGGTTTGTTACAAGTGAGCTGTGGATTACAAATTCTACCACGTTTTGCTTGTGAGTATGAGATATTGCTCCCACGTTTCCATTTCGGAAGGGTTTTTGGAGTCTTTGCTTGTTGACGAAGGAATAGGGAGGAGGCAGCGTATAGAGGAGAGGGGCCTCCTGACACCAGAACCTGGCAAAACTCTGGGTTTAGTAAAACCTTGGTGTATTACGTTTCTGTAAAGGTGAGGAAGCTTTAGAAGTCGCACTCTGAGTGATTTTTATGACGCTCTAATTTGCGAACTACTTTTCAATCCTTATCCTTTACCGAACTTGCTTTATGATTTTTTTTAGGTAGCAATTACGCACGGACGATCAGTTGGAAAATCCATGGAGAATGGGGCTTGCTGTGCGACTGGAGATTTGTACCTTGTAGCGAGCCATTCATATATGGATACTGAGATCTATTTCTGGTCTTACCTGGACACGTGAACCAGAGTGGAGATCAAGCCCCTGCTGTTGTTTACATCTGTTGGTTAGGAATTTTCAGTTCACATTGTTGTATTCAGAAATGATAGATGGTGTCTGTGTAGATGATGGTATTCAATTTCCGTTCCATACACAGCTGAACCACTGCCGCTGTTGAGGGCGTCGTTTAGAAGTTTAATGGAAACCAAGAACCTCATTTAACGCTCAGAGAGACAAAGCTTATCCCAAGACAGTTACACGATGGTCTCACATGGTTAAATATAAAGTGAATGAATTCATTTAATTTAATTTTAATCTTCGGTAAGTGGATGTATCAGAGGTTGGCAATAGGATTTCCCAAGCTGTGGGAGGGATTTCGCCACAGTAATTTTTGTCAGCTTATACTTTAAAGTCTTCAATGACAAGGTTAGACTAAAGTGTTGCAGATATAAATTTCTCCATCCTCTTTCGCTCTGCAGTGAATGCACCTTTCAAAGTGCCGTATATCATCACATGCTCGTTCTTTTCTTCAGATCCCACTCCCCTGTCACATGCTGAATGCATGAGCACTTGCTGCTGCTTCAAAAAAGTGGAGCACTTCAACCTAGACAACGCTTCAACAATACATGAGAAGCTTGATCCATATGAAGCTATTCTTCCGCCCGACGTTCTTACTCTGAAGGCTCTCAATGTCGACGACAGCCAGAAGTACGACTTCTCTTTGCACAAGACATCCCCTTCAACGTAAAATAAATCTAAACATTCTATGTCAAATCCCTATCACAATCACGACACAGAACAGCGAAAAACCAAACACGGAGAACAGACGATAAAATCCACCACACCAACTCGCAAGCTTATCCACACCCCCTAACTATCAGCCTCAATTCTTCACCGACAGACCTCACTCCATCTAAAATTGTACAAGAAGGTGCAGCATAAAATCTAAGAGTTATCGCAACTCATCTCCATCCGCTGAAACCCCGAAACAGCGAAAAACAAAATTAATTCAAACCAGGAACAGAGATACAACAAGGCGGGAAAGAGTTCTCAGAACAGCTCCGTAAACCAGAAACTCTACATCTATCTGAACTCGAGCACAGAAACAATCAAACATGAGAAGGAACATGTGCTCGCTCTTGCAAGCTCGGCAGGAACAAATTCACACTCCGAACGACAATACCGACTCGAAATTAAAGACGAAGCCATTCAATTCAATTCATCTGACTTTCATTCACAGAAAACTCCAACTCAGCAATAGGGCAGAAAAAAAAAGCCAATCACGAAGCCCCACGTACGCAATATGATCTCACTCCTTCAGTCTAAACTCGTTCCATTCGTCCCCGGTTAAATAACTTAAAAAACCTATTCCCGCGGACCCGAAGCAAAAATGAACTACAAAACGGTACCCAAGGCGTCAAGCTTGCCGCAGGTGTCTGTCTCCAAGACGACGGTGTCCCGTACGCTTGTAGGGGGAATTCCGGTTTATCGGGATCGAACAGGGCGGACCTCGTTAGATTCATGATTGATCGATCGGCCCATCCACCGACCAACTAAATACTGGGATTGATCGAGGTGGGAGACAGAGGCGGGGGAGCAGGAAGCCGCGGTTATGCGAGCAGGTGGTGCTCCGTAAGTTTGTCGCCGACCATACTTGCACGGTTTCGCGGAAAACCCTAGAAATCGAGCTGTCGTTGCCGTCGAAGCCCAGTGCTGCGGGGCTGTCCAGGTTCGGTGGAAGAGTCCCTGGGTAAGAACGTAGCTTTGCTGACCCGCTGGAAGTCTGCAGCTAGTTTTCCGGAAGAAAGAGAAGCAGCTTCCTCCTTCCGACCTACGGCCGGAAGTACGAGCTCCGATGCGGCTTGTCCCTCCGTCGTGCCTAAAGCGGGGAAGCAACGGCTAGGGAAAAGGGACAGGGTGCGGGGTGGGATCAGGGTGGAGCCACAAAATCTGTTACAGAAGCGCGTGGAAGGGGCGACAGGGTTGGGACGGGGTGGTTCCGATTCGGAGCAGCGAGGAAATTCGGTTTCTTGGGGATCTTGGGGGGACGGCGGTTGTGGGGGAGAGAGAGAGAGAGCGAAAGAGAGGCAGAGGATAAGGGTGAGTGGTGGTGGGCAGAGTGGAAGCCCGTTCGACGAAGTGCGAAACAGGAGGCGTCGGCGTGGCCGAGCGGGCGGGCGCACGGAGTGTGTGGGCGAGGAAGGGGATGCGTGGATAGGTTAGGGTGCAGCAGGTGCGGGTGAACGTGTGAGTGTCGGTGGTTGAGAGCGAGGGGGTCAATGAGTGTGTGAGCGAGGGGGCTGCGGGGGAGGAGGTGACTCCCGGCTGGTCTGCATGCATGGCGTCGGCGCTCCTTCTCACTCATGAGCGGCATAGCAACGTTTACTCCGCAGGGTTGGCCGACATGATGAAGCGAGGAGCGAAGATGGCGAAGGCGAGTACGGAGGCGCCGCAGGAGGTGCGGGTGCTGAAGCGGAAGTCGATGAGCTTGAACCAGGAGTACGCGCAGGGGGCGAGTGGCGTGGTGACGGTGGACGTGGCGAAGCTGTCGCGCGAGCAGAGGAGCGAATTGAGGAAGAAGCTGAAGCGGGGGCTGGAGGAGGTGCGGTTGGTAGTGTCGCGGATCGACACGTGGTTGGAGGTGCTTTCGAGGGGGAAGGGGAAGCCGCTGTCGCAGTCGCAGTCGCAGTTGCAGGGGGTGGCTTCGGAGGGGAAGCAGCAGCAGCAGCAGCAGCAGCACCAGCAGCAGTGTCGAAGCAGCGAGGCGAAGTTGGGTCGAGCGGACGTGAACGGGCTAGGGCAGGGTCCGGGGCATGGACAGGGGCAGGGGCGGAAGGAGGTGGCGTCGGTGATCTCTGATCCGGCGTCGTCGTCGGGCGAGACGCCGCGGGACATGCCGAAGGAGATGTCGGAGAGGGAGGCCCGGTTGGCGCGGCAGCCGAGCGTATTGATACCGGAGGTGGCTTTGGGGACGCCGAGCGAGAAGATGAAGCGGACGCCGAAGGCGAATCAGTTGTACGTGAACTCGGAGTTCGTGTCGGGGAAGGACAAGATGCCGGCTCCGGAGAAGGCGAAGGCGAAGCGGACGGCGTCGGGGAAGTGGGAGACGAAGGACCCGCGGAGGCAGAAGGTGGAGGCGGCACGGGGGAAGAGGGTGGCGGACATGCTGAAGCAGTGCACGACGCTGCTGCGGAAGCTGATGACGCACAAGCACGGGTGGGTATTCAACGAGCCGGTGGACGCGGAGAAGCTGGGGCTGCACGACTATCACTCGATAATAAAGAAGCCGATGGATTTGGGGACGATAAAGAAGAAGCTGCACGGGAAGGGGTATCCGTCGCCGGTGGAGTTCGCGGAGGACATCCGGCTGACATTTGCGAACGCGATGACGTACAACCCGGTGGGGCACGACGTGTACGTGATGGCGGAGCTGCTGAAGAGCATATTCGAGGAGTGGTGGAAGAACATGAGCAGGAAGATGGAGGAGGAGAAGAGGCGAGCGGAGAAGGAGGAGGAGATGCTTTTGAACGACGAGGATTCGGTGGAGGAGACGGGGGAGGTGCGGAGGGGGGAGAGGGACCTTTCGTCGCTGACGCGGGGGAAGACGAGTTCGCGGATGGCGTCGCAGCCGAAGCCGCGGCCGGACGAGGTGGGGAAGAGGGCGATGACGTTCGAGGAGAAGAGGAAGCTGAGCGTGAACTTGGAGAGGCTGCCGGGGGACAAGCTGGAGCGGATTGTACAGATCATAAAGAAGAGGAATCCGGATTTGGGGCAGAACGAGGACGAGATCGAGGTGGACATCGACTCGTTCGACAACGACACGCTGTGGGAGCTGGACCGGTTCGTGACGAATTACATGAAGAGCAGGGGGAAGAAGGCGAAGTCGAAA